TTCAACTACTGCCATTCTTACAAGGAACTTAGTGAGTCTCTTGGGTTGCTTTGTCTTCGGTGGGGTTTCCCTTGACAGGGTGGTATTGGTTCCCCTGTCAAATTTACAAGTCCTTCATTCTCCTGACAACTGAAGAATTGGAAGGACTTATCAGAATACAGCATATTTTAAGTGAGAAAACTGTGGCAAAGACAAAGATAGGAAAAATAAGATGAAGCTGGGATAAAGGTAATACTTAGGAAGCATTCTATAAGATACTGTAGGCTCTATCAAAGGTTGGTGGAAAACTTGGCTTTATCTTCCTAGCAGCCAGTGTGAAGAGGGAAATAGGTCAGTGCTACAGTCCGGTGTCTGTGTAGTGCTCTGGAAAAGCCTGGCTATTCCTGGTTCTGAGACCTGAGGGGAGTTTGTCCGGTGGGAGATGCTGGGAACAGTTTCAGTGGTGGCCACTGGCTGGGTTTCATGGGCCCTTTCTGACAGCATTCAGCCCCTTGCTAGTCTGTTGCATCCAGAGCAATGAAAGATGGGCTCTTGGGTGCTGTTTTTCTGAGTTGGGTGTTCCTTCAGGGAAGGAAGAAGCTGGCCAGGTGGCAGGTCAGCTCCTAATTCCGCAAGCGGGTTCTGGATCATCTCCTGAAAGGAATTTTCAGGATGGCTTCATGTGATCTTAGCCTGTTGCCTTCCGCGGCATCCTGTACTTTCACCATACCTTTGAAGAAACTTGCCGTTTTACCTTTCTAACTTCAGAACATGATCGGCCAAGCGAGTGCCACTGAAGAGGGTGCACTCTGCATTCCTGACCACGACCTTTGCCGGGCACCCCTGAATCCTTTCATAACCTAATGGATAACTAACACCCAATAAAAGATGACTTGTTAAAAAAAAAAAAAGATCTCTCTTAGCAACTTTCAAGTATGTAATACAGTATTATTAACTATAATCACCATTCTGTATATTACATCCCCATGACTTATTTTATAATTGGAAGTCTGTAGCTTTTGACCACCTTCACCCATTTCCCCTGCTGCCCCTGGCAACCATCAATCTGTTCTCTGTATCTATGGCTTTGGTTTCATTTTTTTGTTTCTGATTTTTTTTTTTTTTTAGATTTCACTTATAAATGAGGTCATACAGTATTGGTATTTGTCTTTGTCTGACTTCACTTAGTACAATGCCCTCAAGATCCATCCATGTTGTCACAAATTGCAGGATTTCCTTCTTTTTATGATTGAATAATAATTGTATATATGCCACATTTTTAAAAAATCCATTCATCTCTTGATGAACTCTTGTTGTTTCCATGTCTTGGCTATTGTAAATAATGCTGCATTGAACATTGGAGTGCAGATATATTTCCAAGATAGTGATTTTGTTTCCTTTGGTTAAATACCAAGAAGTGGAACTGTTGGGTTATATGGTAGTTCTAATTTTTTTGAGGAATCTCCATACTGTTTTCCATAATAGCTGCACTAATTTACATTCCCTCCAGCAGTACATAAGGGTTCCCTTTTCTCCACATTCTTGCCCACACTTATTTCTTGTCTTTTTGGTAATAGACATTCTTACAGGTGTGAGGTGATATTTTTATTGTAGTTTTGATTTGCATTTCCCTGATGATTAGTGATGTTGAGCACCTTTTCCTGTACCTGTTGGCCATTTGTATGTCTTCTTTGGAAAAATGTCTATTCAGAGCATCTCCCCATTTTTTAATTGGGTTGTTTGTTTGCCTTTCTATTAAGTTGTATAAGGTTTTTTTTCTTAATATATTGTGGATTGTAAATCAACTATACTCCATTATAAAATAAAAATTAAAAAAATATATTGTAGAAATTGTTTTATCATGATACTTAGTGCCAAAAGCAGGAGCTATTATATACTAAGTAGCAGTGCATTAAAATGTACATCAAAAAAATCCTTGTAAGAAACATTTTGAAATGTTCACACTGGTTTTTATACAAGAACTGTATTATGCATGATTTGATTCTCCTTTATGTTGTTTTCCAAAATTTCTTAGATAATTTTATTAATTTTTGTAATGAAATCACAAGAGAGCAAACATTTCACGTGCTTCCCTCCTTCTCTTGTATTGCAAGGCCTAAAATTTCATGTGCTGTCTTAATATCTTTGAACCTCACAGGGCCCGTAAGCCTAACCATGAGTTCCCCTCTTCTCACCAGACATGCCCACCAAGCAGTGGGAAGAAAACTAACCATGCTGTTAGTTCCTGTATCAGCCAAATCATGTCCCTGTCAGCCACAAATTAATCAAAGAAGCCAATCACATCCTTCCACAGCAACCAGGGGGCACCTCATCCTCTTGTTAGTAGAAATCCTGCTCCCAAATGACACCACTCTGTGACATGTTGTGTCCTTCTCCTGAAGGATTTGAGGATATTCAACTCAGACTGCTGTCGATCTCATCTGTCTAGTATCTAGGTGTGTGTTAGGATATCTTCAGAACCCTAGGGCAGGACTCTCTCCATCACCGCTAGCTGAAAAAACACCTGCCTACTCATTTTTACTGCTATTCCATGAGTTTTCAGTATCTACACTGAGAAAGATTTTATAAAGCTCAATTAACCTTCAAATAGGAACGCTAGATCATGTTGTCAACCTATATGTTTGTGATTGAAATTTTATTTTGCTGAGCCTACAAACTAATATTAAACTTTTGCCCTATTTGTAAGACAGATAAGGCTAAAATTATAGGTATTATAGGTACGTATCCCTCATTAAGCTTGGACTCAAATGGAAAAGGAGTCTTTTAGATTATTTCTTCAGGTTGGGTGAAAGTGGAGCTTTAGAATAAGAAGTGCGAGTTAAAGCGGGAGAGGGGGAAAAAAAGAACGGAGCGTTAAAATGGGAAAATGTTGGTAGCAGAAACAGATATTCTTACACTGCTGTGAATATGTAAAATGGCATAATCACAGTGAGAAATTTGTCAGTATCACAAGTTAATGTGCAAAAAGCAAGACCACTTCGAGAAGTTAAGTTACATGTAAGCCTACATAGGTGCAAACTGAAGTTTATGGAGGGATATTAACTGAGCATTTGTGAGAGTGTTTGTGAGTGTTTGTGAGAAAAAATAGGAAAATCAATAATATTTATTTGTAGAGTTTTGTTTCTTAGAGAAGGTTTCAGCTACACATACTGTGGCTTATTTTGCAGTTGTTGAAAATGATGACACTCCTTAAGTACTGATACAGAAACACATTTGTTTGAAGAAAAAGAAATACATACTTTCATATGCATATAGCATACATAGTATTTGAAATTACATATACATTTTGTATTCATATGTGTGTGTGTAACATTGTATATTTTATTTTAAAATAACTTATCTGGGGGCTTCCCTGGTGGCACAGTGGTTAAGAATCCGACTGCCAATGCAGGGAACACGGGTTCGAGCCCTGGTCCAGGAAGATTCCACATGCCGTGGAGCAACTAACCCTGTGAGCCACAACTACTGAGCCTGCAGTCTAGAGCCTGTGCTCCGCAGCAAGAGAAGCCTGCGCACCGCAACGAAGAGTAGCCCCCGCTCGCCGCAACTAGAGAAAGTCCGCACGCAGCAACGAAGACCCATTGCAGCCAAAAATAAATAAATTAAATAAATAAATTTTTAAAAATAATAATAAAATAAAATAACTTATCTGAAACAACAAGGTCCTACTGTATAGCACAGGGAACTATATTCAATATCCTATGATTAAACCATAACAGAAAAGAATATGAAAAAGTATATATATATATATGTATAACTGAGTCACTTTGTTGTACAGAAATTAACACAACATTGTAAATCAATTGTACTTCAATAATATTTTTTTAAATGTCAAATTATTTTATGAGAAAAAATAAAATAACGTCTGGAAGGCTATATACACTAAAATCAAAATGCTGTGCATGCTAAGGTTAGCTACTATATGTCTGAAATATATGGCAGAAGAGGTTGATCGCATTTTTAGTTAAACTTTATATCCTTTTGAAATGTTAATCTATGCATGGATTGCATATTTAAAATATGTTGGAATGCTGATAACTGAAATATGGGCACCCTTTGATGAGAACTTTCCATTTCCCATTTGCTTACTCATGAACTCACTCATGAAGCTAAATATATATATATGTGTGTAATGCAACCTCAATTCTTCTGATAGCCCAGAAGAATCTTCCTCCTTTCAGATTTTGAGTCTGATTTATCTTCACTGCCCAAACAACTGAGAAGCAAAGTATTTTTCAATGAGATGTCATGACCAGGCATTACGAATTAAAAGATGTTTCTCAACCTGTGGGCTTTTAAAAATGCAGTCAAGCTCACCACTTCACAATAGAGCAGAGAGGGATGAAAAGAATCGCTTAACAACAGTCAATTTCTGGTGGACATAATATTGTAAAATGTAAATAAGGTATTGCTTTTTGTTCTAGTTTTCAGAGAACTGCATTCAGTATTCTTGAAAAAGGGACCAAAACTCATTTTCCCTTTTTCTACAATGAGAATATATTATAAAGTCTGACTTTATCCAGGTTTTCTCACCTGGAAACACGTCTTTGCTAATCAACAGTATAATGTTATACAACTTATGTAAACTCAGAGGCTTCAGCTCTAAAACCAGAGTAGTCAGTACCTGTGGCATTGCGAGTGGAATGAGCGTTTTAGGGAAGGGATACATTCACCTGCACACTCATAACACACGACACAAACACGCACAGTTTGGTTGGATCATGAACCCACTTCAAGAGCTCGCACTGGATGGCCCTCGGGGTCATATTACTGATTCAACTGGACAGACCTTTCACACGCAGGCCTGAAGCCTTGGAAAAGAAGAGCTCCGCGGGTCCCTCCTCACAATTCTCTGGTCCGGCCCCACCCTCACTCGCCGCCTCCTGGCCCTGGGAACCGCTGAACCCGCCTTCCGCCTCAGGTTGGGCCTCCGGGCGTTGGGAGACCAGCGCTGCGCAGGCGCAGTGGGGCGGTCGTTCCCAGAAATCTCCAGGCCCGGCCCGGCAGTTGCTTTGCTTCAGGACTTTAACGACCTGGAACCTCACGTCCCACAGACGGCGAGGTGACTTTGACCTCCGGTTCTTTTTCCGTGTCCCGTGTTGCGTGCTGCGCGTGAGTGGCACCCGTCCGAGGAAGAATCCGCTTGGGTCGCCGCGAAGACGACTGCGCAGACGTAGCTGGCGCCCATGAGGGACAGCCAGCGGCGGTGAGACTGGGATTGCGGGAGGCGCTCAAAGCGTGGACGGCCGGAGCGCAGCCACGCGAGTCCGCCCGCCCCGTCGGGGCTGTTGGCGCTTGAGCAGCGGGGAGGGTGATTTTATCTCTTAGAGTGAGTGCGATTGTGAGACTGAGAGAGGTGTGTGTTCGTCCTTGTGTGACGGAGACACAGGGTGCATGTCCTTCTTGTGAATGTGGATTGCAGTGGCTCTGTGGTGTCACGTGACACATAGCTCTTTTTCCCCTTTGCTGCTTCTAGGCTTCTCTCAAACATGTACTTCTCCCTATGTGGGCGCAGTTGGGAAATCTGGTTTTGAGTCCTACAAGACACCTTCCAGCAAGAAAGTACATACCAGCTGCTGAGATCGGAATTTTAAATCAAGAATTGCCCCTGAGACAGGCTCCTAGGAACGTATGGATAAAAAGACTCCCAAGATTAGGATTCCTTCCTCGGATTACCCTCCCTGGCAGTTCTCTGGGGCTCATTTATGTATTTGAGTATGAAACTATGAGCTCTGACGGGAGAAACCTGTGAGCCCTGATACAGATCGCACAATCCTACTTAATTCTGGTTATAGGTATGAGGTCACAGCGGGTTTAGTAGTCTTGAAGGATGGCACACAATAAATGCTCAACATTGTCTTTATTCTGTGTCATTCACCCTTCAGATTCTATAAATCAGTGATGAAAATATGATGTTAATGTGTTGAGTGCTTGCATGTCAAAGGGCTTATGTGGACGCTAGTTTTCCAGAACAAGTGTTCTGATCCAGGGATCCTTTGTATTTTGGGGCCTACAGGGGACCACAAATCCCTTGTGCTTGTATAGAATTACTGCATATATTTGGAAAAATGCATTCTTCAAAGGTGTGATAACCCAAAAGATTAGACCTGGGTAATTGATATGCAATCAAAGACTGTTATACCTTGGGATGGTTTTGCACAAAATTAATGATTATACTAATGGAATGGTTAAGAAAATCACACGACATCCATGAGATAGAATATTATGTAGATAATAAAATTCCTGCTTATAAGAATTAGCCGTTACAAGAAAAAAAATGGCTATGATCTAATGTTAAGCAATCTTAATATGTAGATAATAGTAGTCAAGAAAATTTGAAATTATATATGCAACTCATTTTAAAAAGAGAATTTTGTAAAAACTTTTGCAAGGATTATATCCAAAATGATAGTTTAATTGGTTTTTCAGAGAAAAATGAAAATGTTTAGCCACATTTATTGAGCATTTTCTGTGTACCCAGAACTTTTCTACCTATTTGGTATACATATTCACATTAATTTGCAAAGGCAATTTCCTTTTCCATTGATGTTAGAGTGTTTATAGGGAAATGTCTCTAATTATATCAGTGCAGTACAGCTAAAGGATATTCAAGAAGTGAATATACTTAAGTGGTATTTATTTTATTTATTTATTTTTATTCGAGTATAGTTGCTTTACACTGCTGTGTCAGTTTCTGCTATATAGCAAAGTGAATCAGCCATACGTATACATACATCCCTTCTTTTTTGGATTTCCTTCCCATTTAGGCCACCGCAGAGCACCGAGTAGAGTTCCCTGTGCTATGCGGTTGGTCCTCATTAGTTATCTAGTTTATACATAGTAGTGTATATATGTCAATTCCAATCTCCCAATTCATCTCACTCTCCCTCCCCCTTGGTATCCATACGTTTGTTCTCTATGTCTGAGTGTCTATTTCTTCTTTGCAAATAAGATCCTCTTTACCATTTTTCTAGATTCCACATATATGCATTAACATACGATATTTGTTTTTCTGACCTACTTCACTCTGTATGACAGTCTCTAGGTCCATCCATGTCTCTGCAAATGACACAATTTCATTCCTTTTTATGGCTGAGTAATATTCCACTGTATATGTACCACGTCTTCTTTATCCATTCCTCTGTTGATGGACATTTAGATTGCTTCCATGTCCTGGCTATTGTAAATAGTGCTGCAATGAACACTGGGGTGCATGTATCTTTTTGATTATGGTTTTCTCCTGGTATATGCCCAGTAGTGGGATTGCTGGGTCATATGGTAGTTCTATTTTTAGGTTTTTTAAAATAAACTTGTTTATTTATTTAGGGCTGTGTTGGGTCTTTTTTGCTGTGCGTGGGCTTTCTCTAGTTGCGGCGAGAGGGAGCTACTCTTTGTGGTGCATGGGCTTCTCATCACGGTGGCTTCTCTTGTTGCGGAGCATGGGCTCTAGGCACATGGGCTTCAGTAATTGTGGCATGCAGGCTCAGTAGTTGTGGCTCGTGGGCTCTAGAGCACAGGCTAAGTAGTTGTGGTGCATGGGCTTAGTTGCTCTGCGGCAGGTGGGATCTTCCTGGACCAGGGATTGAACCCGTGTCCCCTGCATTGGCCGGCAGATTCTTAACCACTGCGCCACCAGGGAAGTCCCCTATTTTTAGTTTTTTAAGGAACCTCCATACTGTTCTTCATAGTGGCTGTATCAATTCACATTCCCACCAACAGTGTAAGAAGGTTCCCTTTTCTCCACACCCTCTCCGGCATTTATAGTTTGTAGATGTTTTGATGATGGCCATTCTGACCGGTGTGAGGTGGTACCTCACTATAGTTTTGATTTACATTTCTCTAATAATTAGTGATGTTAAGCATCTTTTCATGTGTCTGTTGGCCATCTGTATGTCTTCTTTGGAGAAATGTCTATTTAGGTCTTCCGCCCATTTTTTGATTGGGTTGTTTGCTTTTTCGATATTGAGCTGCATGAGCTGTTTGTATATTTTGGAGATTAATCCTTTGTCAGTTGCTTCATTTGCAAATATTTTCTCCCATTTTCTTTTCGTCTTGTTTATGGTTTGCTGTGCAAAAGCTTTTAAGTTTAATTGGGTCCCATTTGTTTATTTTTGTTTTTATTTTCATTACTCTAGGAGGTGGGTCAAAAAGATCTTTCTACAATTTATGTCAAAGAGTGTTCTGCCTATGTTTTCCTCTAAGAGTTTTATAGAGTCTGACCTTACATTTAGGTCTTTAATCCGTTTTGAGTTTATTTTTGTGTATGGTGTTAGGGAGTGTTCTAATTTCATTCTTTTACATGTAGCTGTCCAGTTTTCCCAGCACCACTTATTGAAGAGGCTGTCTTTCCTCCACTGTATAGTCTTGTCTCCTTTGTCATAAATTAGGTGACCATAGGTGCGTGGGTTTATCTCTGGGCTTTCCATCCTGTTCCATTGATCTATATTTCTGTTTTTGTGCTAGTACACTATTATGCGGGATTTTAGTTCCCTGACTAGGGATCGAACCCGGGCCCTCTGCAGTGGAAGCATGGGGTCCTAACCACTGGACCGCCAGGGAATTCGCTTAACTGGTATTTATTTTAATCACATTGATTTTTTTTTCATTGTCATATTAACAGATTTTTAAAATGAGGAATATATGGCCTCTTCCCAAAGTGATGTCTATAGATATTTTAATACTTTGAAATATCTTTATATATTTTATTTATGATGATGGAATTAATACAGGCTTATTGCAAAAAATTTTCATTTCTTTAGGGAATTTACTGAGAAGGAAGCAAGGATAACCCATTATCTCCCTGCTTAGAGATAGTCACTTTAACATTTTGGTGTATATTTTTCCAATTTTGTGTGGTTTTGTTTTGGCAGAATAAAATTGATCAAATAAAGGAGACAAGGTTCAACTCATAGTTCAAAAAAGAAATCTAATCCAATGATAGTTTTCTTTATACCCCTGTACATGTAGGGAGAAGAGGGAAGGGCAGAGAATCTTGTGTGAAAATCATTACAAGTAGTTAAACCTTTTAGTTATTACAAATGTTATTTAAAACTTAATTACCAGGGCACCATATTACTAAGTAAGACATGCTTTCAGAGTTAATAATTTAGAGATTTAAGCTTATTTTCAGAAAAAATAACACTAATCTCTGATTTCCAGGTGTCTTACAAGTACAAACAATATTTCCAAACATAGTTGTTATACCAGAAAATAAAGATTATATTTATAAATATTTACATAAATCTCTATATTGTGCAAAGAATAAGATTCCATTCTCCAGTTAGTTTTCCCAGTTTTATCATGATGTTCTTTGAACAGGTTTATGATTCTGAACAGTTTTTCTTGCTCTCTATAGCTGCTGGGGACTGAGGAAGGGGACATTTTCTCTCTTCTTGTCTGATAATCTCTCTCTCTCTCTTTTTAATTAATGATTTTATTAAGCAGAAATCTGTTTTCTCAAACGTACCTCCTAAAATTTTAAATACTAGAATTAGAAGAAAGAGGACACCCAAGAAGCACAAGTTTTAATATAATAAAACCAGGAAGCACCAGAATTAGCTTCCTTTTATAATAAAAGATTAAGGAACATGGAATGATTTTCTTCTTCAATAATGATAGATAATTTACATTCGTCATCATGATATATAATTTAGTGTGTATTTGAATTATTTTGCCTAGTCTTCAAACTAGTCATATATCGTATGTGATATTTTTATCCCTACTTTGCTGATGAGGAAATCGGCATTGAAATATTTTTCTTAATTTCAACGGGATGCCACCTCTTAAATTACGCATACTTTTTTAGACCTACCTTCTTCATCGAGCAATTCTTTTAATATTGTTTTCCGTCAATTATATGGTTTAATATCGTTCTTATTAAGAATGGCATAGGGGGACTTCCCTGGTGGCGCAGTGGTTAAGAATCCTCCTGCCAGTGCAGGGGAAAGGGGTTCAAGCCCAGGTCCAGGAAGATCCCACCTGCTAAGAACAACTAAGTCCATGAGCCACAACTACTGAGCCTGCGTTCTAGAGCCCACAAGCCACAACTAGTTAGACCTTTTGCCACAACTATTGAAGCCCGTGCGCCTACAGCCCGTGCTCAGCAACAAGAGAAGCCACCGCAGTGAGAAGCACACGTACTGCAACGAAGAGCAGCCTCCACTCGCTGCAACTAGAGAAAGCCCACGCAGCAACAAAGACCCAATGCAGCCAAAAAAAAAAAAAAAAAAGAATGGCATAGTATGTCACAATATAGCAGACTATAATATAGTTAACCTGTTTGCCTGCTGTGGGATTTTTATGTTTTTAATTTTGGACTATCAAAAATTATTCTCTGATGAACATTCTTGTGCATATACCTTGTGAACTTCTGTAAGTTATTTCCTTTAAAATTTTTCTAAAAGTGGTATTTTGTAGTCAAAAATCATACTTCTTTTAATTGTTTAAAATATGTCAGACCTGGAAAGTATAATATTTGAAGTAATACAGCCACTAAAAAGACATAATTACTTCCTTCAGAGTACATATAATCTGTGAAGGAAGTTAAAATCTGAATAGGAATAATTGAAAGGTAATGTGTGATAAAGGCCACTGGTGAGAGTTAGGTGACCTGCCTAAAGGAGACATCAGTGTGACTATAGTGACAGTAAGCATATAAACAAATAATACTGAACACATGGGATCTGTATGGCAATAAGTGGATTTTTTTTACTATAACCTTTATATTTTGTAGATTTCATTCTAATGATATTAGATGTATAGCAAAATTAATAGGTAAGATAATTCAGCAGCTATCTGGAGGATATCATGACAAAACTGACAGGTTCAGAAACAAGATAAATTCTTCTGTTGAAAAGATCTGAAATAAAGCTGTATTGAGACTGTCATCACTTCACAAAAGAGATTACTCAGAGACTGTTCCCAAGTTTTTTGTGGTCAGAATTCCAACATAACTGAGAAGAAATTATAAAATGAGATATTGGGATCCAAAGGAAACAAAATATAAGCCATGTAGTAAAATGATCTGAATTTATTTATTTAAAATAATTTTTTTAAAGTTTTTTGATGTGGAACATTTTTAAAGTCTTTATTGAGTTTGTTACAATATTGCTTCTTGGTTTTTTGGCCCCAAGGCATATGGGATCTTAGCTCCCCAGCCAGGGATCGAACCCGCACCCCCTGCATTGGAAGGTGAAGTCTTTTTTTTTTTTTAATATTTATTTATTTATTTGGTTACACTGGTCTTACTTGCGGCAGGAGGGCTCCTTAGTTGCGGCAGGAGGGCTCCTTAATTGTGGCATGTGAACTCTTAGTTGCGGCATGCATGTGGGATCTAGTTCCCTGACCAGGGATAGAATGTGGGCTGCCTGCATTGGGAGCATGGAGTCTTATCCACTGTGCCACCAGGGAAGTCCCTGAAAGGTGAAGTCTTAACCACTGGACTGCCAGAGACATCCCAATGATCTGAATTTAAAGAACAAAGAACTTTGTGGACGTCTTCACCTTAACAAATTTAAAAAAAAACATATTTTGGACTTCCCTGGTGGCACAGTGGTTAAGAATCCTCCTGCCAATGCAGGAGACACGTGTTCGAGCCCTGGTTGGGGAAGATCCCACATGCTGAGGAGCAACTAAGCCCATGCACCACAACTACAGAGCCTGCCCTCTAGAGCCTGTGCACCGCAACAAGAGAAGCCACCGCAATGAGAAGCCCGTGCACCGCAATGAAAAGTAGCCCCTGTTCGCCGCAACTAGAGAAAGTCCATGTGTAGCAGCAAATAAACAAACAAAAAAAAATTTCAAGTTCTTATGTCAATTGTTACAATGATTATGAAGTAACCTTAAAAAAAACCCCAAAACTCAAGATCTAAGCAAAAAGATAGGGATTGCCGATGTCAAATTCTGATCATGGCAAAGGTATAATTTATGTCTTCACTGGTTTTGATTGTTTCATGTATGAACTAAAAACAACTGAATACCCAGTGATTCATTCCTAAAAACACCCCCTAAAAAATAAAACAATAAAAACATAACCAAAAATATAATAGCTGCTAATATATGGCCATATAAATTTCCAGACTTTTCTATTTTCTGTTTTATGATTGTCATTCTTTTCTCTGTATTGATTAATATGCTCTTATATTTTATAAATAGAAATATATTAGTCAACCTGACTTTTCTATTGACAATATATATGGAACATTTTCCACGTCCTTAAATATTCTTCCCAATTTAACACTGAATGACTACTTTTATATTCTAGTATAATATTGGTCTGTCATATATTTAACTAATAAGCTTTGCTGGACTCAGAATGCTGAACATTACTTGTCCATCTCTAATATTTTGATCAACTTCACCCACTTTCAAGCCCAGAAAGAGGTTCTGATTTGGATTATGTGGCCTCTTTTCTCTTGAAGTTGGGAATGGAAAGAGGAAGATCTGCCCAGAGCAGGACAGAGCTGCCCAATCTTAGTTTCATGTAAACCTGATAACAATGGTACATTGGCCAGAAAATTTTCTACTGAAGTATCTGGGTCTGGTTTCAATGCAGAAATGACTCTGAAGCTGAGACTCCTAGGAATTGAGTGAGGAAATGGATTTGTCCAGAATCCTAACTTACCCAAGTTGTGTGTGATATGAAGTAATTTGGAATCTGGAATGGAAGAGCATAAATGGTAATATTAACTTAAGGCCAGTGAGGAAACACTAAAATACAACTGGTCTCAAGGTCTTTCTCTTCTCCCAGGTCTGGGTTTTCTGGACTCTGCTTTTCTGGTAGAGGAGCCCAGAGGACTGATCATCTCTTGCAGGTCTAAAACCATGGCCCATGTAAGTTGATGTTTCTCTCCTTGTTGAAATATGTGTATTTTTTTTTTTTTGGTCATGTAAGTATTTTCATTAATTTTTCTGATGTTTCCTAAGAGAAAGTTCCCTCAAATAACCTGTTTCCTAGCTATTGTTCCAGAGAAATATGTGGCCAAATTACCTGGCACTGTCTCCATATGGCCCATTCAAAACTAACTAGTGTTCATGTAATTATTGTCCAAAATTTTCAATATATTTTAAGTGCCCATTCTTCAATTAAGGGCAGTGATGGAACAGTGGGGTAAGTTATTTGAAGTAGAAATTTATGCTGTGCAGGTCAGATCTGTAGTTTGGAGATGGAGACAATGGTTCTGTTTAACTATCCATGGTAAGACTTTGAAGTTTTCCACAGATCCGAGATTTCCAGGTAGATGAGGTGGAATTTATCATTGAATGACCTGAATCTTAATATGGTATGAAATTCCTGCTTTGTGTGGATGAGTAGTATATGATTGGGGCTTTGAACATGGAGGTCATGGATTTGGTAGGAAAGCCATGAGACATAAATACTAAGGCTATTTTGTTGTTGAATGAGACATGCTAAGTTTGTGTAACATCTATATTATTGACCAGCCTTCTTCAGTATCATTTAAATCAATGAATTATCTTTTAGTGCATAATGAGTTACTCTGAAACATAGCATCTTAAAGCAGCAAGAATTTATCTCACAGTTTTAGTGAGTTAGATATCTGGATGTTGCTTAGCTTGGCTCTCCTGCTCTGGGTCTCTCACAGGGTTATAATGTGTTGGTCAGGGTTTGCAGTCATTTTAAAGCTCAACTTTGAGTGGATCTGCATCCGAACTCATTGAAGTGGTTGTTGACTTGATCCAGTTCTTTATGGCTGTTGGACTGAGGGCCTCACTTCCTTAGTAGCTGTTGGCTGGCGACTGCTCTTGGTTTATTGGTTTTTTGTTTTGTTTTGTTTTGTTTTTTGTCTATAAAATTTATTAACAAAGTTTCAAAAACATTTTGAAATTTTCCAAATTTAAAAGGAGTTATGACAAACTGGCAGAGCCAGGGCTGGAATTTAAGATCTATTTTCCCTGAGTTACTTGCCCTCTAGTACCTTAGGTTCTTAACCATGGCTGTACACATTAGAATCACCCCAGAAACTTTTGATAGTACCCCATATCAATTAAATCGGATTTTCCAGAGTAGAACCCAGACACATGTTCTCTGGAAAAGCTCCAATAGGCAGCCAGAACTGTATATATTCACCATCAACACAAGGTCTCACATGTTATTTAGCTAATACATTTCAGTTTTCAAATAATGTCAAGTGTAAACTAATTTAGTGGCCCCTGGAAAATATAATGAAAAAGAGTAAAACACAGGCTACCCATCTAATTTTAATTATTCTACTTAAAAGGTGGAATGAATTCCATAGCACAACTCTATTCCCAAGACCTGTCAGTATTATGAATAAAAGTCAACAATATTTAACAACTGATTATCAATTTATTAAAAATGTTGATTTAAGCATCTGTAATGGTGACTTCAGCCCCGACTCCTGGCTCAATACTGATGGAAGTGATCTGCTTGACAATCTCAGAAGGACTGTGCAGGTCAGTGAGTCGCTTGTGGATCCTCATCTGGAAACGATCCCAAGTATTAGAACCTTCACCACAAGGAGTTTTCCTTGTAGTTATTCTCAGAGTCTTGGTAGGCATCCGAACCAGTCCTTTCACTTTGAGATTCTTTTCCTTCGCGCCTTTGATCAGATCAGCACATACCTTTTTCAAAGACTTCACGTTGCGGCTGGTGAGGGTGATTCTAATCCAGTGAATCGCCACCTCGGACTCCACGGGAGTCTTCCCGGTATCTTGACGCGCAGGCTCAGCGGCCCAGCCGCTCGGCGGCACGTGGGATCCTCCCGGACCGGGGCATGAACCCACGTCCCCTGCATCGGCAGGCGGACTCCCAACTACTGCGCCACCAGGGAAGCCCCTTTCCCGGTATCTTTAAAAGCCATAGCTGCGGTGTGGCTTCTTGACCAACTTGTTCCTCCGCGAGAGCGATCGGCAGTGAATCAGGAGCAGGAGTGGGCGGCCCGAGGCTCCGCTACAGCGGCGACCGCGTCTTCCTCCAAAAGGGGTTTATTATGTGGTGCTTTCCTTAGGGCAGCTCACACGTGGTAGCTGGCTTCATCAGAGTGACCAAGTGAGACAGCAAGAGAGAATAAGCAATGTGGAAATCATAGTTTTTTATAAGCTAATGTTGGATGTGACATTCCATCACTTTTCTATATTCTATTTGTTGGAAATAATTCTCTCTCACTGGGTTCAGACCACATTCAAAGGGAGAGGATTACATTAGGACATAAATACCAGGAAATGGAGATCACTGGTAATCAATGAGGTTACCTACTACACTCAGAATAAGGAAAGTGTTCAGTGAGAAATGGTAGATGGCAACAAAAATGCATATCATTATATGTAGTTGGTGAAAATAGAACCTTACAATTGTGGAAAACCTTCCAAATGTGCATCTAATTGTATAAATTATTAAATCTGATTTATTTATAAAATACAATGTCATATGCCAAAATAATAAATGGATTTATTGAATCAAGCAAAAATGCTTATGGCAAGATCTAACATAATAGTACTTGATACTTGAAGAAAATCGTATTAATTTTATGCAACCCAGTTTTTAAAATTTGGAGAAATATTTATTTATTGAGAATTTTTGAGGCAGATACCATTTGGACATTATTCTTGTATATAGGCTTTTTAATTTAGGAGGGAAACATTATTTTGTCCATTTCCAAATGGTTCAGATATTTAGAAGTATCCCAGAATACGGAAGACATTTGACCTGTGTTGGCAGGCTTCTTAAAAAATATGTATACCTTGTGCTTAAGTCTCCTTCCATATCATAGATTGCCAGCCTACATACTTTCATTTTCTCTTTTCCTATGGAGAAGTCCATCAACTCCTGCTTCTGCTTTCAAAGTATTTTCTTTAATTTGCCCAGTGATACATGTGTTTACTGTTTCAGGGATCACTGACATTCAGTGATGTGGCCATAGGCTTCTCTCAGCAGGAGTGGGACTGTCTTGACCTCGTTCAGAAGACTTTGTACCGGGATGTGATGATGGAGAACTATGGTAACTTGGTCTCACTGGGTATGTTCATTCGCTTCAAATAATTTAGATTAATTTAGAATCTGCTCTATAGGCTGTGTATTTTTTCTACTGTAATTTTCAGGGCTGCCTTTCAAGAAACTAGTTAAATTTGTTTTTCCTCTTCCCAAAAAAGTGGTCTGAGCTTTGTCAGGTTAGAAATGGCAGCTCCATTAAACACTTTCATCTTCCCTATCCTTCAATCATATTCACATCTCCATGTGTTCTTTTTTTATATTTGCATCTCTTCCATAATGACCAAGCAGCTAAATTAGGTATTTGTGGCATATACTGTATAACCATGGTCAAAGGATCCAAGTTTTTTATTCATTTGTGCTCCAGATTGCTCTAATACTCCATTTTAAGATCTGAAACAGCTTCAGGGATATCAGCTTGACAGAGGGTCCTAAATTGCTCTCGGTATCAAAAGAGCCTCTACAATTTATACGGTGATGGATTGCATAATTGGGATTTATTTAAAACTGTACCAAAAGCAGTTCATTTCTTAAAACAAAGTTCATCTGATTTGTGGTTGAAAGTTGTAATACATGAAAATTACATTCAAAATGGAATGAATATCTTATAGCTCTCTTTTCTTGTATCCTCTAGTGACATTAGAGCATAAGAATAATGTTAATAGCTAACATTTTGATTACTGTGTAGTAGTCATTATTCTAAGCACATTATGTGATTTAACTGATTAAAATAACTGAGAGTATTAACTGATTTAGTTCCCCCAACAGTACTATTATTATCCCCATTTTATAAATGAGAATACTGAGGTATAGTGGGTTTAAGTGAATTATTCGAGGTTATACCCAGCTGGAAGGTAGCAAAGGCAGGAATTGATCCCAGGCTTCAAAATATGTTTTTAACCACATTATGTTTGCTCTCTAGAGTTAGAGGACATATGAGTTTGAATTTTAAATACAGCAAAACAAAAACTTTGCCTTACCTAACTGACTCTTATCCTTTAATTTTCTCGTTCTTCTCTAAAATAGTCAATATCATTATGATCTTTTATTATCATAATTATAATTTTACCTTGACTAGTTACAATTTATTTCTGCAACCTGTGGCATTCTGTTTTCTTTAAAGCAGGCCATTCCATTTCTAAGCCAAATGTAATTACCTTACTGGAGCAAGGAAAAGAACCCTGGATGTTTATGAGAGAAAAAACAAGAAGTTGGTGTACAGGTACGTAAGAGCAGGTCAGGCAGAACTCATTTGTGTAAATGATAGCCCAGGTGGTAAATACACTTGGTAAACACATCCTTGAAACATTAGTTGGAAAGCTCCCTTCTCGGTGAAGGAAAGTCTTGTAATGTGAAGAGGAAGTATATCAACTTCATCTTAAGCTCATTAATCATTCACCATGTTATTTTTCTCATATTCCCCTCCCAATTTCATGCTAGTCCCTTTCCTTCTATGGTGTAGCCATTTACCTGTATTTTGGACCAGATTCTTTCCAGATCCTCTTTTTCAATGTGACTCTTGTCTAAAAATACATTCATTCCTATACCTGGAAAATATTTGAATAGTCTGAGCTGGCACTGTGCTTGGCATAATCAACCCAGTAATACTGAATAGGGCAGATAATGTTCTTGCAGTAATGGAGATTATACCATGTTAAGGAAGAAATTAACATGAAATAAATAGATAAATAATATAAGGTAGTGAAATATGTTATGAAGGACACTAACAAAAACACAGCAAATTTAGGTAAGGTAGCATGATCAAGAACCCCTTCCTAACGTTTGTGCAGAGACATGAAGTAAGGTCACAGGCTTTTTGACTGTATGAGAAAGCCCAACCAAGGAGAGTGAACCGCACATGCAAAGGCCCTCAAGGGGGATGAGGTTTGTGTGTTTGAGTAGTAGCATGGTGACTAACAGGACATGAAGCTAGTATGTTAGGAAGGAAAAGATCCTATTAGATTTTGTGGATCCTTATGAAGAATTAGTAGAATTGTTTTCTAAGAGTAGTTAGGATCCCTAATATGATTTAGGTTTTTGTCTTTGTTTTTTAAATATGATTTTCACCTTTTCTTTAATCATAAGACTTACACAGAAGCCTAGATAAAACAACTATAGGTTAAATTGTAATTCATTTTCATATCCTTTTCAAATATTTCTTTATTCTTATTTGTGTTAACATTGATCTGTTGGATTTATTCTCATATTCCTTCTAGGTTTGTATTCTTTCATTATTTTTCATTTATTTGAAATTTACTTGTGAGCTCTATCACCCAATTCTGAGTTTTTCTAATTCTCATTTATGATTTTTCTTATCTAAAAGTTTTTTCTTGTCTTTTAGCATGTTATTGAATAGTATGGTATAGTTTTTTTCCTTGTTTTCAGGGCATTTGCTTTAGATGTATATATATTGTCTCTATAACTGTCATTAAATTTAGTCATATAATTTCTTGTATAGGACCTTGGGCCTTTTGGGGGGATGGGGGGTCATTTATATATGAGATTAATTTTCCTCAGTTTTGAGAAAGGAGTGAAGATTCTGGATACCTTTTCTAAATTTGTGATTTTAAGGGCTCCCTCTTCTGTTTATTTTATTTTATGTTATTTATTTATTTATTTTTTTGCGGTACATGGGCCTCTCACTGTTGTGGCCTCTCCTGTTGCGGAGCACAGGCTCTGGACGCGCAGGCTCAGTGGCCATGGCTCATGGGCCCAGCCACTCCGTGGCATGTGGGATCTTCCCGGACCGGGGCATGAACCTGTGTCCCCTGCATCGGCAGGCGAACTCTCAACCACTGCGCCACCAGGGAAGCCCTGTTTATTTTTTTTAAGCATTCAAATTATCATGGCTTGGGGAATGAATGGAGCTATTCAGGAGCATAGTTTTTTATAATATTATAATTAAGATGGTATTGATCAGATTTAAATTGTTACAGATTAAGACGTTAATTGTAATTCCCAGGAAAACCATTAAGAAAATAACTAAAAAATATATAGTAAAAGAAATAATAAAGGAAATCAAATGGCATCCTAGAACATATCTATTTAACACAAAAGAAGGTAATAATTAAGAGATAGAAGGGGAAGAAAGGCTTAAGACACATAGAAAATATGTAACAAATTTTAACCATAAATTCTATCAGTAATTATATTAAAGGTAAATTGAGTGCACACTCCATTTAAATGACCAACGTAGGCAGAATGGATTAAAAATAAAAAACATGATCCAACTGTAAGAAATACATCTTAGAGTCAGAAACACAAATAGGTTAAAATAAAGGTCCAGCCACATGGGGAAGCAGCTGGTCAGTTTCTTAAAATGTTAAACTTGGAGTTACCATCCAGTCAATAGGGTGCGCTCCCTTATTGTCTTTAGATCTTTGCTCAAATATCATCCTTTTAGTGGGGTTTTGCAGTGAGCCTTTCCCCTGATCCTAGCCATCCTGAGTCTTCTTTCCAATTTCATTTTCTTCTTTAGCAATTTCCATCTTCTGGCATGCCATGTGACTTACTTGTTTTTCAAGCTAATGAAGGCCATGCTTTTCTTCTCATCTCTTTCCTTCATAGCTAGCTACATACTCTAGAAAACTGGAAATGTACATCTCACAGAAGCTTGTACATGGTTGCTCATAGCAGCATTGTGTATTAATGGTCAAAAAGTGTAAACAACCCAGATTTCCCACTATAATCAAGATACACAACATTTACAGTACATGAAAGGTTTCCATTGTTTCCCTTCCCAATTAATTTCCACGCCCCATGCCCACTCCCATTCAAACTACCACTGATCAACTTTCTGTCAATGTACATTAGATTAGCCTTTTAAAATAATTTTATAAATATGGAATCATACATTATATATTCTGTTATGTTTTGCTTCCATTGGTCAGTATAATGACTTTGAGGTATGTCTATATTGTTGCGTGTATCACTACTTTGTTCAATTTTTTTGTTAAGTATTATTCTGTTTTATGGATAGACCACAATTTATGTTTCTGTTCACCTACTGATGGACTTTTGTGTTAGTTTCCGGTTTGGGACTAGTTATAAGTAGAACTGTTATGAATATTTGTGTATGTGTATTTTTATAGGATGAATACCTAAGAGTGGAATTGTTGAGTAATAACTGCATGTTTAACAATTTTAGAAATTTTGCACTGCTCCATTCCACTTACTCCATTTTCTTTCCAACACTTGGTATTGTCAGTCCTTTAAATTCTAGACATTGTAGTTGGTATGTAGTGGCATCTTTTTGCATTTCCATGATGACTAATGATCTTGAGTTTCTTTTATTTACTGATCATTCATATTTTTTGGAGTGTTTATCCAAATCTTTAGCCATTTGAAATCATTATTTTCTTATATTTGAGGGTAACTGTTCTTTATTTTGGAACAAAAGGAAGTCCTTTTGGAACATTAAAAACTTTTTCCCACAATGTGACTTACCTATTAATTTTATTAACAATATCTTACAAGGAGTTTTTAAATTGTTATGAATTCCAATTTATCAGATTTCTCTTTAATGATTTTTTTGGGGTATACTATCCCAGAAATCTTTGCCTACCCCTAGGTGGCAAAGTTTTTTCCCTGCTTTTTCTTGACCTTTTATAATTTTTGCTTTTATGTTTAGTTCTATTATATATCCATTTTGAGTTAATTTTTTATTACGGTGTGAGTAGGGTTCAGGACTCATGTTTTCCCTATGGATACCCAGTTATTCCAGCACCATTTAAAAAAAAAAAGAATTTCCTTTCCCCTTTGGATTGCTTTGGCACCTTTGTCAGAAGTGAAATCACTGTATGTGTATCTGTTTCTGGTCTCTACTCTGTTTTTCATGTTGGCATAGAAAGTGAAAGTCTTAAAAAAAAGGAAAGTCTTGTGGTAGGTTTTTTCATTTGTGACCTTTGTTGAATTGAGGTAGTTTTCTTTTGTTCCTAGTTTGCTGATTTTTTTTTTTAACTATGAATGGGTGTTCAATTTTGTCAAATGTTTTATCTGAATCTATTAAAATGATTTTTTTTCAAAACTTTGCATTTCTTGTCCCTTCGTAATCTTCCTCCTCTTTCTTCCTCCAACTTCCTTAGGTATGCAATGATCTACTTTCTTCTTCTATCACAATAGAGTTGATTGCATTTTCTGTAGTTTTATACAAACAGAATGATAGTGTGAAGTTTTTCATCTTCCTTCAGTCAGCATAATTAGGTTGAAGTTCATCCATGTTGTTATGTGTGTTTTACTCAGTACTATACCAGTATTTGGTTATACCACAATTTGTTTATTCATTATCTGCTGAAGGACATTTTTGGTTTTTAGCAATAACAAATTAAGATGCTGTAGACGTTTGTTTATAAGTCTTTGAATGAATATATGCTTTCATTTCTTTTGGCCAAATACCGAGCAGTTGAATGCCTGGATTGTATGGTTAAATTTGTAAGATTTTAAATTTAGATTTAGATAAATAAGATTATAAATTTAAATTTGTAAGAAACTATTTTACAGTGTTTCTATACCATTTCACATTTCCACCAGCTGTAAGAGAGGTCTGGATCCTCCATATCTTATGAACAATTGGTACGGTCAATCTTTTTAATTCTGGCCTTTCAAGTAAGTATATAGTGTCATTTTGTTGTGGTTTTAATCTGTTTCTCCATAATAACTAATGATGTTGAGGATCTTATTTGCTGTCTTCTTTAGTGCAGTATCTTTTAAAATCTTTTGTCTGTTTTATTAGGTTGTTGGTTTTCTTATTGAACTTGTAAGTTATTTTTCATATTCTACATTAAAAGATATCCTTTTTGAATATTCTCTTGTTTGCGATGATTTTTCCTTTCATTCTTGTAGCAGTGTGTTTGGGAGAACAGAAGTTTTGAACTTTGACAAAATCAAGTTTATCCGTTTATTCTTTATGAATCTTGGTTTTTGGTGTTGTATCTAAGAATTCTTTGCCTAGCCCAAGGTCACACATTTTTTCCTGTTTTCTTCCAAAAGTTTTACAGTTTTACGTTTTACATTCAGGTCTGTGATCCATTTTTTTAGTTCATTTTTGTTTATCAAAGTATGGATTCTTTTTTGGCATATGGATATCCCAATTGTTCCTGCATCATTTCTTGAAAAGACTATCCTTTCTTCGCTCTATTGCCTTTGAAATGATGAAAGTAAGTTTTTCATGTATGTATGGATCTATTTCTGATCATCTGTTCCATTAATTGACGTGTCTTGACACATAAACTTGCTGATTAGTGTATCTTCATAAGTCTTATAATTAAGTAGTGTTATTTAGTCCTTGTACTGTGTTCTTTTCAAAGTTGTTTTGACTATTCTAGGTCCTTTGCATTTCCCTATAAATTTTAGGATCAGCTTGTCAATTTCATCATAGACCACAAAAAAGTCTGCTGGGATTTTTATTGGAATTACATTGAATCTATAAATCAATTCAGCAATAATTATTGACATCTTAACAGTATCAAGTTTTACATTCCATAAACATGATATGTCTCTCCATTTATTTATATCTTTAACTTTTCTCAGCAGTGTTTTATAGTTTATAGTGTACAGGTCTTACATATCTCTTGTGAGATATATCCCTCACTATGTCCTATTTTTGATACTACTTTAAATTGTATTTTTAAAAATCGAATTCCTGAGTGTTCGCTCATATTTACCTATTGGTTGTATATACTTCAGCCTTGCTAAACTCAATTACTATTTTCTAGTAGCTGTTTTATAGTTTACATTTGACTTTCTACACATATGATTAAGTAATCTATGATTAAGGACATTTTTGTTTCTTAATTTTTCTCCTGCATGCCTTTATTTATTTTTTGATTTATTGCACTGCCTGGAACCTCTAGTCCAATGTTGAGTAGAAGTGGTGAGGGCATAACTTTTTATTGTTCTGATCGTATGTGGTAGGCATAATTCTCTCACCGTTGGGTATGGTGTTAGCTGTGGGTTTTTTGCAGGTGATCTTTATTAGGATAAGTTCTTTTTATGAGGGATGGATGTGGCTTTTATTAAATGCTTTTTTAAAAAAAACTTTTAGACATGATCCATATGGGTTTTATAAATTTTATTTTGTTAATATAATAAATTATATTGATGAAATTTTCAAATATTCAACCAGTCTTGTATTCCTGGGATTGATCATCGCCACGGTCTGAATGTTTCTACCCCCCAGTATTATACTGAAATCCGAACCCCCAAAGATGATGGCATTAGGAGGGAAAGCCTCTGGGAGATGCTTAGGTCATGAAGGTGGAGCACTCATGAGTGGAATTAGTGTTCTTATTAAGAGTTACCACAGAGATTCCTCACCCCTTACACCATATGAGGATGCATTGAGAAGGCACTGGCTATGAACCAGGAAGAAGGCCTTCACCAGAATATGACCACACTGGTCCCTTGATCTTGGACTTCTCAGCCTCTGGAGCTGTGAGAAATAAATTTCTGTTGTTTATAAGCTACCCAGTCTTTATTTTTTGTTATAGTAGCCCAAAAGGACTAAGACAGGCATTACGTATTACCTTTTTTATATATTGATGGATTCTGTTAGTTAAGATAGTGTTTAGTATTTTGCATATATGTTCACAAGGTTTTATGGTATGTAATTTTCACTTCTTATACTGTTTTTCTCCTGTTTGGTATCAGAGCTGCATAGACTGATTCACTCCTCAATTTTCTGGAATAGTTTTGTTTAGAACCGGTAATACTTCTTCACTAGGTATTTGAAACAGTTCACCAGTGAAACTGCCTGTGCTTGGAATTTTCTTTGTGGGAAGGTTTTCAAATTGTTTACTAGGTATAGTGTTGCCACACTGATTTATATCCTTCTCATGCATGTGTTGTTGTTGGTAAGAGTGAACGTTGTACTGATCTATACCCAAATACCAAATTAGGAAATCTTCTCTGGCTGTTTTTGTCCCAGCATTCCCCGCCTTGCTTTCCAGTTTGGCAGTGCTCCCTCTCATTGTTCTTATAGCCAGAAACATTGTGGAGTTTCTATTGGAATTTTTGTAGCCCACGCTTACCCCACAATAACTGGGATCTGCCCTTGAAGCAAGGACATGAGAGTGAGTTAAGCAAGAAACTCAGCTCAGTCTGGATTGCTTTGTATAGTCTGACTCCTTTCCAAAGCCCTCCTGCTTTTATTTACAGCCCTTATGTAGTTAATTTTTGTATTTTGTCAAGTGTTAATAGTTGAAATCAGAGAGGGGCAGGCTGTAGGAACTTCATGCTACCATACTGGAACTAGAACTTCTTCAATTAAGGAGTTATTTAATGATGAGAAATAATTTTTTTCTCTTGTATCATTGCTGATTTCATTGCTTTTTATTGCATGGTTTATTATCTGTCACAATCATTTTTATGCTACTGTCTTTTTAGTTTTGGCCAGTCAAAACTCTCCAAGCCTTTGAATTCTTCCTCTCTTTTTGGCATAAGATTTCTAGGGTTATGCCTGCTGGCTTCCTAAATTTTCCCTTTGTCCAGTTATGCTGTATCCATATTTTAGATCTAGATATTGAGAAATTACAATATAGGTGTTGAAATGTGCTTATGACACTTCTTCTTAATTTTTTCCTGGCAGCTGTTTTTCTGTTTATTCTGTAGCATCTGGTTGATTTAGGCTTTCTCTTCTGTGTTCAATTTTAATAAATTTTCCTAGAAAGTTATCCATACTTTCAAAAGTATTCACATAGTACCCTTGTAATTTAAATTAATTCCTCTGTGGTTCTTTTTTTTTTTTTTTTTTTAGATTATTTATTTATTTATTTTTGGCTGTGTCGGGTCTTAGTTGTGGCAGGTAGGATCTTCTGTTGTGGCACACAGGTTCTTTGTTGAGGCATGCAGGGTTCTCTCTAGTTGTGACATGCAGGCTCCAGAGCACATGGGCTCAGTAGTTGTGGCACATGGGCCCAAAGGCGTGTGGGCTCTGTAGTTGTGGTGCACAGGCTCCACAGTGCGTGGGCTCCATAGTTGCAGCACATGGACTCTCTAGTTGTGGCACGTGGGCTCAGTAGTTGCAGCACGTGGGCTTAGTTGCTCTGCAGCACGTGGGATCTCAGTTCCCCGACAAGGGATCGAACCTGCATCCCCTGCATTGGAAGGCAGATTCTTAACCACTGGACCACCAGGGAAGTCCCTCTCTGTGGTTCTTGTTTTCCTCTTTTCTTATTTTATTTGTTTTTAACTGTCTTTAATTGGTTTATCTAATATTTCTTATAATGATTTTTTTAAAGCACCAGCTCTTTATTTGTTAATGTTACTGTTTTCTAACTCATTATGTTCTCCTTTTATCTTTATTTTTATGCCTCCCTCTATTTTGTTGTTTATTTTCTACATATTAGGCTTTGATTCTCAACTCACCTTTTTTTTTTTTTTTTTTTTTTTTTTTTCGCTGGCCTCTCACTTCTGTGGCCTTTTCCGCCGCGGAGCATAGGCTCCGGACGCGCAGGCCCAGCGGCCATGGGCCACGGGTCCAGCCGCCCCGTGGCACGTGGGATCCTCCGGGACCAGGGCACGAACCCGCACCCCCCACATTGGCAGGCAGACCCCCAGCCACTGCGCCACCAGGGAAGCCCTCAACTCACCTTTTTATAGAGATAATTATTTTAAGTTTTGAGTTCTCTGCATGGTGAAATTGAATGCCCAAAATTCTGATATGTGCTTATTTTCTGTGTAGTCCATTTACTAGAACTCTTTTATTTCAGTTTTTTCTTTCCATAGTGATCTAGCATTTTTGGAGAGGGCATTTCCAGTTCCAGATGAAAGGGTTTTTGGTTTTCTAATATTTATTAATTTCTATTGTTACTCAATTTTGAAGATTGTTGTTAATATTATTTCAACTTTTTGTACACATACTATACTCTAGTTACAAGAAGATTTTTTTTGCCCTCAACTCATAGCTCCCTCATTAAACGCTTTGGATTTTGCTCATGGTACTTCATACAGATTTTTATCATTCAGCCCACAACTGCCAATTCTTTTTAATATAATTCTTGGCATTCTTCTAGACTTTTCTATATAATTCAAGTTCCCTCTTTTGCCCAAAGTCCCTAAATGTTCAAAATACCATACAACTGGTATACTTGGTATATGTCAGAGAATTGATGGACATACTTTTCTGGGGATGACCAGAATGGTTGGCCTTGGTTAAAGGGAAAGCTAGAAAGGACCTGAGAAAAGATATGAAGGAGTGAAACAGGTTGAACATATGTAAGGATCATAAATAATAAAGTGTCAGGGGAGGAGTAACTAAGTAAAGACTCTCAATATCTTAATGTGTTATGAAGAACAAATAAAAGCACACATGGCTATGCATAGGAGGGAAAGAGTCACAGTGGCAGAAATGTGTATTTTTAGGGGAATTGTAATTGAAGAATGATCAGGTATAATTGCTTTTTTAAATTTTATATGTGTATATATTTATATTTTAGATGGAAGTGGTATTTAGAGCTGGCTGATACTGGCTCTCTAGGGACAAGATTTTACTTATCATCCCTAAGTCCAGGTTCAGTTACATTACACTGATAGCTTGGAATTGCCTGTGGTGGGAGTATTTACACCACAGACATTGGCAAATACTACAAATCAGGGCTGGATGTGTTCTGTGCGTGTCTTTGTTTACCAGTGCTCTACTGCATAAATTTACTTTTTCTGAGCCCTCCTTTTAAATTTTCAAGTTTTATAACTGTATTTTAGAGTTCTTTAAACCATCTCTAATGGGTGAAATTTTCAATTTTCTCTTAATTCTATAAAATGTTTTGTGGTCAAAGAAACTTTTTTTTTCCTATTTGTTGTAGATTTGGACTCAAGATATGAAATAATCAGCAATGGAAAAACATACATTTATACAAAACGTTCATCTCTTACTCTACATCACAGAATTGATAATGGAGAGAAACCATATGAATGTAAGGAATGTGGGAAGGCCTTTAGTCGTCATACAGACCTAAGAGTACGTCAGATAATTCATACTGGTGAGAAACCATATGAATGTAAGGAATGTGGCAAGGCGTTTAGTCGTCATACAGACCTAAGAGTACATCAAATAATTCATACTGGTGAGAAACCATATGAATGTAGGGAATGTGGCAAGGCCTTTAGTCGTCTTACAGACTTTAAAGTACATAAGAGAATTCATACTGGGGAGAAACCCTATGAATGTGAAGAATGTGGGAAGGCCTTCAGTCGTGCTTCAAACCTTGCTCAACATGGAAGAGTTCATACTGGTGAGAAATCCTATGGATGTAAGGAATGTGGGAAGGCCTTTAGTGATGTTGGAACACTTAGAATACATCAGAGAATTCATACTGGTGAGAAACCCTATGAATGTAAGGAATGTGGGAAGGCCTTTAGTCAAGCCTCAAACCTTATACAACATGACAGGATTCATACTGGTGAAAAACCCTATGAATGTAAAGATTGTGGGAAGGCTTTTAGTCATGCTTCACATCTTGTTAGACATGAGAGAATTCATACTGGTGAGAAACCCTATGAATGTAAGGAGTGTGGAAAGACTTTTAGGAGTAGCCATCAACTTACTATACACCACAGATTTCATACTGGTGAGAAACCCTATGAATGTAAGGCATGTGGGAAGGCGTTTAGTGTGTATGGACGCCTTACTCGACATCAGAGTATTCACAGTGGTGAGAAACCTTTTGAGTGTAACAAATGTGGGAAGTCCTTTAGGCTCAGTTCAAGCCTTAAAGTACATCAGAGTATTCACACTGGTGAAAAACCCTTTGGATGCCACAAATGCGGGAAGTCCTTTAGACTTAGTTCAATGCTTAAGGTACATCACAGAATTCATACTGGAGAGAGACTTTATGGGATATATGTATAGTAGACAGTGGAATTATACCACTTGAGAAACAATTTAAATGAAGAGAATATGAGAAGGATTTTACATGGTTCCGTTCTTATAAAGCATCAAATAATTTAGGCTGGCAGGAACTCCTTGGAATTTAAACAATGTTTTAAGTTTTTCAGTTATGATCCAAATACTGTTCACCTTCAGAGAATTTATACTGTACTTTATATTAGAAAGTCATTTATGGCATTCCCCCTTTTTCACTATTTACTGAGTGCCCAGGCTCTTTGGCCAAGGTTGCAAGGTAGATAAGTGCCACCAAGAAAAAGACCAGTGCATGATTTGAGGTCATGGAGAATAGTAAAAATACACCCCAGGATCAAGTAGAACAGTGTTTACTTGTAGCAAGAGAGGAGATAGGATGCACAAGTTCTAGTTCCTTGCAATGTGTCAGTAACCCATAGCCAGCCGATCAACTCCACATCTGACAACGGCAATATAGCTGCACACAGCCCACTTTGTTCTGCAGTGGCAGGACACAAACTCCTTCCCTGTGGGGTGTGACATCCAGAAAACTGGGAGCGTGCCTGAGTGCCACTAACACCCGTGATTAAGCAGAACAAAGGAGTACGCATTGAGTCTGACACAGAGATAGCTATTCATGGCAGTAAGCCCAGCAGAGGCTGTGAGGGTTCTGTATTTTTTGGTAAAGACATATGCAGCCCCAACAAGGACCATCTTTTTTTCCCACCAGCTTTACTGAAGTATGATTGACAAAGAAAACTAAATTTAAGGCATACAAGTGGTGCTAAAGGGGAATGTTTGGCTATAAGTGCTTATATTAAAAAACAAGAGAGGTCTCAAATTAGCAACCTAACTTTACAGCTTAAAGAACTAGAAAAAGAACAAACAACACAAAGCTAGCAGAAGGAGAAATAAAGAATAGAGCAGTGGTATATGAAATAAGAGAACAGAATAACAACAGAGAAAATCTTGAAACCAGAAGTTCTTCAAAAAGATCAACAAAATTGGCAAACCTTTAGCTAAATGAGCTAAGAAAAAAGGGAGGAGACTCAAATTACTAAAATCAAAAGTGAAAGTGGGTAAATTAACTATACTTGAATTAAAAAAAAGTTGTGATACAAAATTAAAAAATAAATTCACACACAAAAAAGTGTAAGTGGGGAGACATTACTACCAATTATACAGAAATAAAGGGATTATGAGAGTACTATGAACAATTGTATGCCAAAAATTGGATAGCCTAGGTGAAATGGACAAATTCCTAGAAACAAAACCATGGAGTTAAACATGAATAAATAGAAAACCTGGATAGACTGGTAACTACTCTATAAGTAGTAAGGAAATTGACTCAGTCACAAAAAAAATCTCCCAATAGGGAGTTCACTGGTGGCCTAGTGGTTAGGATTCCGGGCTTTCACTGCCATGGCCTGGGTTCAATCCCTGGTTGGAGAACTAAGATCCTGCAAGCCATGCAGCATGGCCAAAAAAATACCTCCCAACAAAGAAAAGTCCTGGATCTGGTGGCTTCACTGGTGAATTTAAACAAGTACTAATACTAATCTTTCTCAAACTTTTCAAAAAAGTTGAAGAGGAGGGAATACTTCCTAACTGATTCTTTGAGACCAGCACAACCCTGTTACCAAAGCTACTCAAAAACACTGCAAGAAAGAAAGCTACAGAACGTTGTCTCTTATGATCATTGATTTTAAAATCCTTAACAGAGTACTAGCAAAAAATTCAGCAGCATATTAAAAGAATTATACAAAATGACCAAATGGGATTTATTACTGAAATGCAAGGATAGTTCATCATATGGAAGTTCATCAGTGTAATATGTCACATCAACAAAATGAAGGAAGAAAACGATCATCTCAATTAATGCAGAAAAAGCATTTGACAGAATTCAACACCCTTTTATGATAAAAACACTCAACAAAATAGGAACAGAAGGAAATCATCTCAATCATAACAAAAGCTATATATGAAACTATCTCCACAAAATAAAAGCTATATGAAAGACCCACAGCAAACATAATATTTGATAAACATCAAGATTTTATCTAATATCAGGAAACAAGACAAGCATGCCTGCTTTTACCACTTCTATTCAACGTAGTACTGGAAGTTCTCAGCAGATCATTTATGCAAGAAAAATAAAGGCATCCAAATTCGAAAGGAAGAAGTAAAATCATCTCTGTTTATAGGTGACATGATGTTATATGTAAAAAACCCTCAGGATTCCATAAGAAAGCTGTTAGATCTAATAAATGAATTCAGCAAAGTTTCAGGATGCAAAGTCAACATGTAAAAATCAATTGCATTTCTATACACTAACAATGAACAATATGAAAAGGAAATTTCAAAAACAAGTCCATTTACAATAGCATCAAAAAGAATGAAATAGTGGAATTAACCAAGGAAGTAAAAGATTTGTACAATGAAAGCTGCAAAACATTGCTGAAAGAAACTATAGAAGACATAAATAAATGGAAACACATCCCACGTTCATGGATTAGAAGACTTAATGTTATTAAAATGCCAGTACTAACGAAAGCAATCTACAGATTCAATGCAATTCCTATCAAAATCCCAATGATGTTTTTGGCAGAAATACAAAAACCCACCCTAAAATTCATATGGAATCTCAAAGGACTGCCAGTAGCCATAACAATCTTGAACAAATCTGGAGGACTCACACTTCTTGATTTCAAAACTTACTACAAAGCACCAGTAATCAAAACAGTGTGATACTTGCATAAAGACAGACATATCAACAAATGGAATAGAACAGAGAGCCCACAAGTAATCCCTTATGTATATGGTCAAGTGATTTTTTTTTTTTTTTTTGTGGTACATGGGCCTCTCACTGTTGTGGCCTCTCCCCTTGTGGAACACAGGCTCCGGACGCGCAGGCTCAGTGGCCATGGCTCACGGGCCCAGCCGCTCCGTGGCATGTGGGATCCTCCCAGACCGGGGCACGAACCCGTGTCCCCTGCATTGGCAGGCGGACTCTCAACCACTGCGCCACCAGGGGACCCCAAAAAGAGGACTTTTAAAACTCAAATGAGTAAACTTAACTTATTCCAACTGTTGTTTATAAACTAATAAGTTTTATATTGAAATACTTGATTCATGGCTAGGTTTTAAAATGAAGCTATGAGATCTCTGATTCTATCTTTATGTAAAAATTAATTTGTAAATGAGTTCTAATTGGCTTAAAGAAAAATAAGTGCTTACAAGTCAAACATTTCTAAGTACAACAAATTAAAGTTTGAAAGGATCACATGATCCAGGACTGATTTTTTAATGAGTGAAAACACGTTTAAGTTTGTTGGTTTAATTAATACAGACATGTTTTTAAAGTCATCAATATTAAGTATAATACGTTGAATGTACTAGGTTTACTGAAAGTCTGTAAATTCATAATATTTCTGTCACAAAATTTATCAGTAAGAAGCGTTGTTATGATAATATTTACATAAATAATAATAGAGATAAATGGAATAGAAGATTTTAGGTGAACTCTTTAGAAATAAGTATGTTTTAGTTTTTCCAGATTTTTGGTAACAAAACTCTAGAAGATGTAATAGGCATACAGAAAGGGATGCTTTGTGAGGCTTCAGTGTGAGCTCTGCACTTCAGATAAGAGAAGGGAACTCAGCACACCAGGGGAAATGGCACCTGTGTAACTAGTATATTTTTTGTTTTGTTTTTCTTTGCTTTTATTGACATGAATCATTGTTTACTACTCATTTAAAAATTTCTAGAAGATCCAACTTTTTTATTTTTTGGCTGCGCCGTGCTGGCATGTGGGATCCTAGTTCCCCAACCAGGAATTGAATCTGCGTGCCCCCCTTACCCCCCATCTCCATCCCTGCAGTGGAAGCTCAGAAACTTAACCCCTGGATCGCCAGGGAAGTGCCCAATACAACTTTTTTTGATCAAAGAAAATTCCTGTATTTCTAGTAGATGTGGACACATTCACAAGTATCCCTGAAGCTTTGAACCTTGTTGAATTCTTTAAGGAGGGCTGGAGAAACAGTCTTCCTCAGCAACCTGCCTAAAATCTCCATTGTTAACTGCTTCTGCTTCCAGTCTACAGCTCCACATATCTGATTCTGGCTCCTCAAAAATAAGTAATGGGTTTTCAAAATGATTTAGGAGTATTAGGAATTTCTCTGCTTGAGACATTATCCCTATGGTAGAAGCCTGTGTTGGGAAAAGATCTTGAAATCAACTTAATGCATCTGTCTGTTGTCTTGTTCATTCCATTGCAGTTGAGATAGAAAATGTTATGAAACTTACCCAATATCCCCTTTCAGTCCCAGGTGGTTTTTTCCAATTCCGGAAATTACTGGGGCCCCTGAGTCTCCGATTATCTGGCTGTCAAGGAAAAAATAAATAAATCAACTAGTTCAATGTGATTCTGATGAGATCTAGTTCTCCTGATGTTTAACATGACCTGATGATGTATGCCCATTCCAGAAAAGAGAATCACCATAGATGTAGCAGTTCTGTGAATATCTTGTGGGAGGAGAATATCTATTATTTAATGTTGTTTTTTTCTTTTATATTTAAACTAGTAAAAGGGTAAAAGAAAAAGAATTGGCATAAAATAAGAAAGGAGTGGGCTTCTCTTTAGCTTTGAGTAGAGTTCTTGAAATCTATATACCCCAGGTGTTCTCTCCTGCAATGATTCCCATTGTAATTGCATTTCAAGGCTAGAGCTCCAAAATGATTCTTAAAAAAGATAGTAATTAGTTATGGTAGCACAGCTGAACTCAAAATTTTTATAGCTCTGGTGGAAATTTTAATTAGGAGTCATTAAAAAATTATTTCTCTGGTCATTTTATCTTACCAATCTATGGTAAGAAAGTAGTCCAAAATATGCAGGAAAGTCTTCTGTATAAATATATATTAATATCAGCATTGTCTACAACCACATAATATTGGAAACAACTAAATGCTCCAAAGATTGGGATTGTAAAATAAATAATGAAACACCCCTAATATAATTATTCAGCCATTAAATGTTTGTTAATGTGCTTTGTTTAATGAGAAAGTTTTGTTTGTTTTTGTTTGCTTGGGGTTTTTTTTGCTATGGTACTAAGGGCCAAAGCAGGAGATATTACATACTAAGTACTTGTGCTTCAAAATGCACACCAAAAAATCCATAGAACACACATACTAGAAAATTCTGGGAAGATGATATAGTAGAAGCATCAGGAATCTGTCTCTCCACGTAGACAACAATTGCACTGCAGAATCTGTCTGGATGTAATGATTTTGGAACTGGAGTCTATTAAAGGCATGCAACTTACAGCTGAAGGCTTGGTTAATTTCAGGGATCTGTGCCCTA